CACTGACTATGCAAGGCAGCTTGTCCTCTGCGATGGCAGCATGTCCTCAGGATCCTCGTCATGAGCCTCGGTGCCAGGACTGTACCATAATAATGGAAGTAGCTGAAGCAAGCTGATGCTGAGATCCCAGCAGTTGGCATCCACTTCTCGATGGGCTGGAAGCCGATGAAGACCGATGGGAGAGAAGGAAATGGAAGAGAAGGCGTTCACTAGGCTTGGATTCAAACCGAACACTTAGACCTGGCCAACGGTGTGGGGAGCAACCCCGATGGGGCAGGGACTTAAGTAAGGCAACCTCGAGAGGCTCGACTGGCACTCTGCCTCTGTCGATCCAAGTCGCAAGGCTCCCTAACTAACGTGACAAGCATGGATGGCCTCCCCTCCTGGTTGGGAGCTAAAGCAAGCCACAACCACTGGACCACCCCACCCGGCACTTTAGCCCATGTGCCCGGGTGTCATATGCCACTGCCCTGGCACGTTGGCCCCAAGGCGGTCCAGGTACCATCGACTCAACACCTGACACCCGGCCAACGGTGTCCACGAACCGAGATGGGCAGTCGATCCGTGTGGGTAAGGTGGCACTCTGCCTCTGTCGCTCCAAGTCGCAAGTCCTGGTTGGGAGCTGAAAGCAAGCCACAACCACTGGACCACCCCACCCGGCACTTTGATCCGCGTGGGTAAGGGCAAGGTCTCAAGGCAAGTCAACATGTCACTACGGCCTCCCTTCTTTGTTCAATCACAACCAAAACTATTTAAAAAGATTAAATATTAACTTCAACAACAAATAAACAACAAATTTGTAGACATACAGCAGCAGGAAACCAGGTAGAACAACAGGAAGCCATTTGACTCAATCAGAAACAAAAACTCATAATTCACAAACATGTATTTTTTATACCAAAAATAAAAAAAATTAACAACTGTAAAACACAAAAAACATATTTAAACAACTTTTAAATACAAAACAAGACTTTTAAATACACAAAAAACACTTTTAAACACAAATAAAGCCAACCACATACAAAAATGAGATTTTGGGTTCCTTTCATATAAGCCTTGTTGATCTAAACCCTACTTAACACAGACTTATACGCTGTTGCTAAGCCATTATATTTTCGCTTAAGTTTCACAAACACTTATAAGAAACCAGGCATTCCAAGTACTTCTCCACACTACCTTTCGAAGGCAGTACAATAGTCAATAGCCATTGCATATCCAATCTGCACGTCAGTTGCATTCAGGATCGTCCTTTTCGAGAGATCATTCTCCGTCGACAAGAAGGAGAAATCAATCTGAATCACAGGTTGTCGGTCATTCTTCTTCACTGCATGACTTTGTCTTCCTTTCGACTTGACACAATGCTCGCACCAGTCTCGGTAAGGAAGGTGAGTCAATTCGTGCAGCCTCCTTTCACTCTCTGACGGTTCACCTGGAATCTTCAACATTTTTTGGCTTCAACGCACTCTTGTCATCAGTTTGCTGCTCTGCATTCTCGCCAGCAGTAGGCCGACCAAGAGGAACAAACAAACAAACAAACAATGTATATCCAATCCACTTGTGATCAGTCGGACCTCTCGGATCCTCGCACTTCTTGACAGTGCCATCACAAGTGGTGAATGATGAAGCGTCGAATTCCGCAAGGCCAATGACCCAATGGAGACTGTTGGGAACGAGCCAGATGTGGCTGATCGTCAAATGAGAGTGAGCCGGAATGTTGAGGAACATGAGTTGGACAATGCCCTTCGGTCACTTCCACAACATGGCAGCAGAATGAAGGAGTTGTTGTTGCAAGTGTTCAATCTCGAGGATCCGGAGACTGCAGCACCCCGGACTACTGACCGGTGGATAATGCTTCCCTCGTTATTGGATACGTATGCCGTATGCTTCATGAGTGGAGAGATTGCTCTTTCCTGATGATGCTCCTTCGCCTGTGGATGGACTGTTGAGTGACTGTCCATGGGGTGGTCGGTATACAGTATTTTTGATTCGAGTGACACGTCACAGATTGACGCTGGCCATCAAAAATCAATGGGCAGACATTGTCATGCCCGACTTATCACGTCCGACCCTTGGATCATATGGACGCGGTGCAGTCTTCTGCACATGTCTCTGCTGTGGTTCATATTTCAATCCGAACTCCACTCGACCTCGCCATTCCCTGAAATCGTTAGGTCGGGTAGTTCTTCATTGCCAGAAAATTCTCATCCTTGACAGTGACAGTCGAGCCATCGAATCTCTGTATTGCTTCAACGTCACTCTTTCTCCAGTCATTCTTGACAACGGGCCATGGATGGGCACTGGCGCTTTGTTTGCCAGTTTGATCCTTGGAACAAGCATTTCATTCCGCCACACGCGAACATGTCGGATCAACTTCCTTTCAGACTCATTCACTTCCCACATGTCCCAACAGCCTTCCTTGGCTGCTCAATCAATGCACCCGTCTGGAACAAGTGGACAACCGAGTCATCATGCACGTCCGACACTCCACGCAACTCAACAGCTTCAAGTTCATCCTCAGTTCCAGCCACATTACTTCTGGAAAGCAACTCGCTGCCACTCTAGCCGCATCTGCCACGGCATAAGGTATGACAGTCTCACAATCGGCACAGGGTTCCAGTCGGATCAATCAATTCGCCATCACAGCCCAGAAGTCTTGCAACAACAGTCTGGCGACACTCACCAGTGGGAACTGTATCCCAGTGCACACGTAAAAGTGCACACCCAAAGAGTGGCCATTGCCACCATCAAGCTACGCAAGCTACGCAGTGAGGGGGCACTCTCATTCAAAGGCAAAACAGGCTAGTCCGGAGCAAACCATTCCGGACAGCAGTTCGCACAAGCTCCACTGTCAAACAGTATCCTCGACTTGTCAGTCAGTCCGGCTTGCATGTGAAGCTCGACCAGTGCGTCGTCACAACTCAGGCGATCAGTCTCAAGATAGCAGGCAAGCTCCGACAAACAAATTCGTTGCCAAGTCCAGGTTTCGCGCCACAAACAGTCCTGGATGATCGTGCTGCATTCTGATCCTGAGTGTCGACAGCCACGGCCGCTACATTCGCCACCAATCCTGAGGACCCCAAGACCGGTCATCGGACCAGTAACTCCAGTCATCTTCGGACCAAGACCAGTCACCAGACCAATCATCAAGAGAACCAATCCAATCCTGACTCAATCCTAGCTCATCATCCCATGTCCATTCATCACCATACCATTCCATGTCATTGACCCAATCTTCTTGGATTCCTTCCTGTTGTCCTTCTTCCTTAGTCAAAGCTGACATTCGTCCTTTTCCTTTACCTTTAGGGCATTCTTTGCTCCAATGGTTCGGATCACCACACAGAAAACATCCTGGTCCTTTTCCTTTGCCTTCCATTCCTTTTCCTTTCTTTCCTTTGTATCCTTTGCTCTTTCCTTTGTACATTCCTTTTCAATTTACACCTTTTCCTTTGCCTTTGTACATTCCTCTTCCTTTTCCTTTATATCCTTTCTTTCCTTTCAGTGCTCCAATATCCATACCAACTGGACCATCATTCCTGCTTGGAATTACCAAATGTCTAATCTGGATGTAGCTGTACACAATCTCCAATACCTCAGTGAACGTGTTGATGTTCCTAACATTCAATCTCAGGTGCTGCTGCAATGGACCAATGGACCAGTCGTCTTCTGCATGACCAATACAATCAAAAGGTCATTGTCAAGCGGCACTCCAGTCGTCTTCTCATGTTCTTCAGTAGATGAAATCACTCAGATCACTTTCCAAGTGATCACTCCGCAATCGAAAGGAAATGATCTCATTCAAGAGATTAATCGCACGGGCTCTATTCGGCAGTGAGAACTGATTGAGCAGTCTACGCCAAATCTCAAAGCCATTCTGTGTCTCTTGCAGCTCCATCTGTGATCTGTGCCAACATGTAAGCCAGTTGCTTGGCAAACAGTGACATTTGATTATTCTGCGTCTGCGTTTGCTGAACATCCAAGGCCTCGCACAGTCCATCAGTCACCACCTTCGAGGCATTCCGCTCAACCTCATCCATCAGTGCTTTGGCCGGTGGCTTGTGCGCCTCTTCATTTGCCACGACCAGTCATCCCATTTCTCCAACTCTCCATGGTACTGTGGAGGTGGGAACAGTTTCAATTCACCATCAAATCCTCTTTGGCCGACATCCATTCTTTCTCACTTCTTCCCTTTCTCAGGAACCGAAGCTCCGCTACCATGCAAAATTCCACTATATAATCCAAACAGTTACAACCAACCAAGATCAATCACTTTCCCCAGTCACAGCTCACTCCTGATTCCTTCGTGCAACCAAGCAGTCGTCCAGTCTTGAGCCAATGCCATTCGGCATTGTTGCATTCACAAATGCATCTTGAACATTTCATTTAACAGAGAGAGAGAGAGAGAGAGAGAGAGAGAGAGAGAGCGAGAGGGAGCCAGAGGGAGCGAGAGGGAGCCAGAGGGAGCGAGACAATTTCATGACACACTATGCCAGAGTCGCATCTGCTGCTTCGTGATGCATGCTGCCCTGCTAAGATCAGCACTGCTGGTCACGAGCCATGCAATCCATGTCGTCATCAATACGGCTCGGAACCACCCTGCAGGGATGGAAAGAATGGGATCGGACGGGAGTAAGGACTTTCAAGTCTGCGACAAGTGAAGACACGGCTTCAGCGCTGATGTCGATTCCACGCTGCCTTCGAAAGCTACAACCAATGTCAGCTTTCTGTCGCTGCAGGCGCACCGAAGGCGCTGGCGAAAGGCCTCAAGGCAGCAGTCCCTTCCCGTTTCGGCGTACCGTTTCAGCGTACCCCTGCCCTCTCAGCCCTCTCTCTTCTGAAAGCATCAGCATGGTGGCCACGAAGAGTAATCACAGGAAAGGAAAAGCATGTTCTTCACTGGCAGGCGAGCGGCCGGCGGAAACGCTGGCTGCACACCCCATGATCGGCCACGACCGGACTCCGATAGCAGCTAGACAAAGAATGAGATTCTTGCATGTGCCCTTTTAGCTATAACCATAAAATACCATAACGCCAACCCTTGGCTTGCCAGAATTTGGGCCGACACGGAATCTGCAAGTCCAACATCCGGAACTGGAGATGTCTGGAGGTCTACACTGAGATTGTTGGCGGCACTCGGAACCCCGGGCCATCACGAGCTCGCCGGACTCCGCTCCCTGATACGCGCGTGGCTCTCTTAAAGTCTTAATCTCTTGGAATGGGATGGCGCAAAGCTGAGGCTCACACCGCATCTCCCTCCTCGTTCGGATCCGTAAGAAAGGTCCGATTTGGCAAAGGCGGCGGGTCGGGGGGTTGGGGTGGCTGCGCTCGCAGACGCGGCGGAGAGGGTACAGGCACCGGAAGAACAGTCCGCGCGCGAACATTTTCTGTTTCAGCTCCATCGTCGAGAGCTTGGGCCCAGGGTGGTTGCTGGCTTTTTGGTGGTGCACTTTGGTGTTGGCCAGCTACCTCCGTACGCCTTCGAGGCGGTGCCGCCTCAACATCTCGGCCTCGACGCACACTGTTGGCCTCTCCATGGACTGAACAACTGTTACTGCAATCACTAATCAGTGCTCTTCTTCGGCAAACGTTAGGTTAGACTGTGACGCTATTCGATGCAAAGCATTTGAGAAATGGCCTTGTTGGAGGCGAAGAGGTCGCGAAGGCGACCGTTCCTGGCACGCCGCTACTTTTGCAGTGAAGGGGGCTTCGGTCGGGGCGTCGCTGGGCTGCTGCCAAGCTACGCCGCGGAGACTGCACTGCTGGCGACTCCAGACGAGACCTGCAATGCAGAACTAATGCGCTGTACATGGCTCGCAATGTTTGTGAATGCATGTCAAACGACATCAAGCTTCAGCCCGAGCCCTGATCCCTGGGCCCACGGGCCGCGTCGGCTGCAGTCCGCGCCGCGGCCAGAAGGTCTGAACCAGCCTCCGAGTCTTCGGCGGGCGGCGTCGTGACCTCTCTCCGTGTTTGCCCCATCATGGAGTTAGCGGTATCCTCCAGATTCCTCCAGTCTCCATCACAACCTAGCAAGGGGATGTAAGGGGAGTTTGCCGTCAAGCTGCAGCCCGCGATCGCGCCGGTGGCACAAACAAGTGGCGCATGCCACCTCGAACGCAAGGCAGGGGCTGTCAGGCCGAAGGCACACGCCATGCAATCACACCACACCTCCGCCGAGCCCGGATGTTGCCGACTGGACGCCAGAACGGGAGACCTGCCGTGTCTAATGCTTTATAAGCAGCCTCAATCAGCTGAGCCCGGCATCCATGCTTCCATGCATCAGGCCACATCCTACCCTATCCCTTGATGCCGCCTCGGCAGCAGCGCCCTTGGCGAAGCCCAGGAGGTCGCTGCCGGAATCAGAGCCCTGAAGGACAGGAAAAGTACACCCGCAGCGACGCTAGGCAACAGATGCAAGCCGCCTCGCTGGGCTTCGGGGGGACCGCTGGAGCCTTTCCTCTCGATGCCTGCAGACGGGCTGTGGCTCTTGTTGCAACTGCCAGTAGCAGATATCAATGAACTGGGGTGTGTGGCCATCGCTTTCACATTGACATGCTGGTCCTGGCTGGGGGCGAAGAGGTCGCGAAGGCGACCGTTCCTGGCACGCCGCTACTTTTGCAGTGAAGGGGGCTTCGGTCGGGGCGTCGCTGGGCTGCTGCCAAGCTACGCCGCGGAGACTGCACTGCTGGCGACTCCAGACGAGACCTGCAATGCAGAACTAATGCGCTGTACATGGCTCGCAATGTTTGTGAATGCATGTCAAACGACATCAAGCTTCAGCCCGAGCCCTGATCCCTGGGCCCACGGGCCGCGTCGGCTGCAGTCCGCGCCGCGGCCAGAAGGTCTGAACCAGCCTCCGAGTCTTCGGCGGGCGGCGTCGTGACCTCTCTCCGTGTTTGCCCCATCATGGAGTTAGCGGTATCCTCCAGATTCCTCCAGTCTCCATCACAACCTAGCAAGGGGATGTAAGGGGAGTTTGCCGTCAAGCTGCAGCCCGCGATCGCGCCGGTGGCACAAACAAGTGGCGCATGCCACCTCGAACGCAAGGCAGGGGCTGTCAGGCCGAAGGCACACGCCATGCAATCACACCACACCTCCGCCGAGCCCGGATGTTGCCGACTGGACGCCAGAACGGGAGACCTGCCGTGTCTAATGCTTTATAAGCAGCCTCAATCAGCTGAGCCCGGCATCCATGCTTCCATGCATCAGGCCACATCCTACCCTATCCCTTGATGCCGCCTCGGCAGCAGCGCCCTTGGCGAAGCCCAGGAGGTCGCTGCCGGAATCAGAGCCCTGAAGGACAGGAAAAGTACACCCGCAGCGACGCTAGGCAACAGATGCAAGCCGCCTCGCTGGGCTTCGGGGGGACCGCTGGAGCCTTTCCTCTCGATGCCTGCAGACGGGCTGTGGCTCTTGTTGCAACTGCCAGTAGCAGATATCAATGAACTGGGGTGTGTGGCCATCGCTTTCACATTGACATGCTGGTCCTGGCTGGGGGCGAAGAGGTCGCGAAGGCGACCGTTCCTGGCACGCCGCTACTTTTGCAGTGAAGGGGGCTTCGGTCGGGGCGTCGCTGGGCTGCTGCCAAGCTACGCCGCGGAGACTGCACTGCTGGCGACTCCAGACGAGACCTGCAATGCAGAACTAATGCGCTGTACATGGCTCGCAATGTTTGTGAATGCATGTCAAACGACATCAAGCTTCAGCCCGAGCCCTGATCCCTGGGCCCACGGGCCGCGTCGGCTGCAGTCCGCGCCGCGGCCAGAAGGTCTGAACCAGCCTCCGAGTCTTCGGCGGGCGGCGTCGTGACCTCATTGCGATACCACTGCGCGCCTTCAACTGTGCACGGGCTACGATGCAACTCTTTCCTGGTCGAATCGGCTGCTGCGAGTCTGGGCAGACAACGCGCATCGGCGCGAAGAGATCACCCACACCGCCTTCATGGACATTCGAATGCCCCGAAGCAGCAACTAGGACACGAACTTCGTACGTATGCGAATCAGTATCCATGCCAAGTACAGCTTCGACATTCAAAAGCAAAGTCTACAGTCTATAGGTCCTCTAGGTGTCTTGACCTGGTTGGATCATCACGATTTCAACATTGCCATGTGCTAGATTGCATTGGGTTCACCCATTTCAAGCAGATGCGCAGCTTGCGAAACTTGGTCTTGCACCGCGGCCCGCAGACACTGACTCAACGCCGGATTTGGAAACCTGCAAAGCAGAATCGGGAGATCGACATAGAAATGAATGTGTCCAACCCAGCTGCTCAAACCCTCTTCTCGGAAACTTCCAGCATTTCCAGCTACGACAAGTCTCACAGCGGTAGCTCAGTCGTCTCCATACAGCCATGGATCGAAGCCTTCATACCTCGAAGTCAAAGCGCGTTGCCTCTGCAGCCACGCCCTTGGCCAAACCGAAAAAGTCGCTGCCGGACTCTGAGCCCTGGTCATTGGTGGCACAGAGCTCTAGCGACAAAGCGAGAACGGCATGGCAACTGCATCAATGTTGCCCAACTGCCTCGCTGGGCTTCGGCGGAGCCACAGGCTCTTTGACTTGGCCAGATGCCTTTCACATCTGAACGAATGTCGCAGCAGCATAGCCCCTGACGAGCTCTCAAAATCTCGTTTCCTGCCCACTGCCGGAGCTAGCCATTCCATGCATAACGTCCCACAGGCAGGAACGATTTATGCCATGCACATCTTGTCACCTTGTTGGGCACAAAGAGGTCTCCCAAATGCCCGCGAGTCCTGGTGCAGTCTGGGCTTGCCGCTTCTTCTTCAAAAAAATTGGAAACCAAGAAGATTGCAGGGCTGGTGCCGACAAGCATCACTGACACGGCGCTGCTAGCTGCACCAGAAGACACCTGCACAGGATCCGGTATGAAAGAGTATGAAAGTGAGTGTTTTTTGCTCTTTCACTATTTCAAAACTCGTGGTCCGGTGTAGCCAAGCCGTGTGCCTTCATTCAATCTTTGTTGACATGAAAGTCGGTCTGATGCTTTGGCTCCATTACCCGCATTATGCATGTCTCCAGCCCTTTCCCTCCGGCCGCATCGGCCGCGCTCTGCGCCGCTGCAAGCAAGTCGGAACCGCCCTCTGAGTCGTCGGGCGGAATGACCTGGGCATCCGTGTGACATCCGCATTGAATTTGGGCTACCGGCAGACCCAGCTCTGCCATCAGAAGTTGCCATTAAGACCTGCTTGTTCTTGATGCAAGCACGCGTGTGATTTCACGGAAGCCCTTGAACGAAGTTCTCTGCAGCAGGCCCGTCCAACCGAATTCCTTTATCTTCCAAAGAAACCTTCATCAGATGCCTTCTGCAAGTCCTTCCAAACTGAGTTCCCGCATATCGGGCTTCAATTGAATTATCGCCTATACCTAAATGCGTCCGCTGCCAGACCCCGCTTTCCACCACCCTGGGCATTCAGCTCGCACTGGTGCGAAGAGGTCTCGCATGCCGCCTGCAGCTGCGAAGATGCGATGCAACGACAGACTGCCCCTAAGTCGAAGACACACACGAAGGCAAAACACCAGCTTAATTTGGGCCCCCTTTTGGAGGACTTCTCTTACAACAAGATCGAGCCCCAAAAGCCGATGCCAATTCAACGCTGCAGGCGACACAGCTGTCGCTGCATGAAATCACGTCAATGGGAACATGTGCAGTGTGGAGAATGCACAAGTACCGCGCCAGCGACGGTCCAAATGCGGCTCCATCTCCGCAGTGTAGCATGTGAGCGATCCTACCATCGTTTGGACCAGACCGAAGCAGACCGTCCTTGTCTCGCAAGCGCAGATCCACGTTGTTTATGACGCGAAACACTGTAGCCATCATGCGCAGCACTGCACAGAGAGAGAGAGAGAGAGAGAGAGAGAGAGAGAGAGAGAGAAAGAGAGAGAGAGAGAGACAAAGAGCACAGAGCAAGATGTGGAGAATCTTTGAATCACTCTTGCAGGCGCCTGCACTAAGGCCCACCGAGAACGCTGATTGAACTCCAGAGCGCGACACCTGCAAACAAGGCATGACTCTGGAGCACATCTTGCGTCCTCGTCGGCTGATGTAAGCTGGTGATAAATTCGAAAAGCAGTATGCATGTGTATGCATGTGTATCTGCCATAGGCGTGTATGCAATGCATGCATGCATGTTTCTCCGTCTGTCTGTCTCCGTCTCTCTCTTTTTCTCTCTCTCTCTCTCGTTCTCTCTCTGTCTCGTCTCTGCGTCTCTCTGTCTCTCTTTCTTTCAGAAATGGGTAAAGGGAGGGGGGGGGAGCAGCCCCCAGTGTTGCCCAAACAACAGGTGGATGAACTAAAGCTAGCAGCTTTTGCTCGCAGCGCCGGCTAAAGGGGGAGCTCCTGCTGGTGATTCCCTTGAGTCAGGAGCAAAGTCAGCGGGATTCACATTCACCACTAAATGTTTGAGAGGTGCTCTCGTGCAACAGCAGTATTGTGCTCAAGGGGCCCCCCCATTTTGTATGGGACGCCCGGAGGAAAAACACTCTGCAAAGGTAAACTACAAGTGATCGAGACGGACACACAGGCAGGCGGGGCGGGGCGGGGCGGGGCAGAGCGGATAGCACAGGCAGGCAGGCAGGCAGGCAGGCAGACAGAAACAGACAGACAGCGACACAGAGAGACAGACAGAGAGAGAGAGAGAGCATTCACCACTAAATGTTTGAGAGGTGCTCTCGTGCAACAGCAGTATTGTGCTCAAGGGGCCCCCCCATTTTGTATGGGACGCCCGGAGGAAAAACACTCTGCAAAGGTAAACTACAAGTGATCGAGACGGACACACAGGCAGGCGGGGCGGGGCGGGGCGGGGCAGAGCGGATAGCACATGGCAGGCAGGCAGGCAGGCAGGCAGGCAAACAGAAACAGACAGACAGCGACACAGAGAGAGAGAGAGACAGAGAGAGAGAGAGAGAGCATTCACCACTAAATGTTTGAGAGGTGCTCTCGTGCAACAGCAGTATTGTGCTCAAGGCGCCCCCCCATTTTGTATGGGACGCCCGGAGGAAAAACACTCTGCAAAGGTAAACTACAAGTGATCGAGACGGACACACAGGCAGGCGGGGCGGGGCGGGGCGGGGCGGGGCGGGGCGGGGCGGGGCGGAGCGGATAGCACAGGCAGGCAGGCAGGCAGGCAGGCAAACAGAAACAGACAGACAGCGACACAGAGAGAAAGACAGAGAGAGACAGAGAGCATTCACCACTAAATGTTTGAGAGGTGCTCTCGTGCAACAGCAGTATTGCGCTCAAGGCGCCCCCCCATTTTGTATGGGACGCCCGGAGGAAAAACACTCTGCAAAGGTAAACTACAAGTGATCGAGACGGACACACAGGCAGGCGGAGCGGGGCGGGGCGGGGCGGAGCGGATAGCACAGGCAGGCAGGCAGGCAGGCAGGCAAACAGAAACAGACAGACAGCGACACAGAGAGAGAGAGAGACAGAGAGAGAGAGAGAGAGCATTCACCACTAAGTGTTTGAGACGTGCTCTCGTGCAACAGCAGTATTGCGCTCAAGGCGCCCCCCCATTTTGTATGGGACGCCCGGAGGAAAAACACTCTGCAAAGGTAAACTACAAGTGATCGAGACGGACACACAGGCAGGCGGGGCGGGGCGGGGCGGGGCGGGGCGGGGCGGATAGCACAGGCAGGCAGGCAGGCAGGCAGGCAGACAGAAACAGACAGACAGCGACACAGAGAGACAGACAGAGAGAGAGAGAGAGAGCATTCACCACTAAATGTTTGAGAGGTGCTCTCGTGCAACAGCAGTATTGCGCTCAAGGCGCCCCCCCATTTTGTATGGGACGCCCGGAGGAAAAACACTCTGCAAAGGTAAACTACAAGTGATCGAGACGGACACACAGGCAGGCGGAGCGGGGCGGGGCTGGGCGGAGCGGATAGCACAGGCAGGCAGGCAGGCAGGCAGGCAAACAGAAACAGACAGACAGCGACACAGAGAGAGAGAGAGACAGAGAGAGAGAGAGAGAGAGCATTCACCACTAAATGTTTGAGAGGTGCTCTCGTGCAACAGCAGTATTGCGCTCAAGGCGCCCCCCCATTTTGTATGGGACGCCCGGAGGAAAAACACTCTGCAAAGGTAAACTACAAGTGATCGAGACGGACACACAGGCAGGCGGAGCGGGGCGGGGCGGGGCGGGCGGATAGCACAGGCAGGCAGGCAGGCAGGCAGGCAGAACAGAAACAGACAGACAGCGACACAGAGAGACAGACAGAGAGAGAGAGAGAGAGCATTCACCACTAAATGTTTGAGAGGTGCTCTCGTGCAACAGCAGTATTGCGCTCAAGGCGCCCCCCCATTTTGTATGGGACGCCCGGAGGAAAAACACTCTGCAAAGGTAAACTACAAGTGATCGAGACGGACACACAGGCAGGCGGGGCGGGGCGGGGCGGGGCGGGGCGGGGCGGGGCGGAGCGGATAGCACAGGCAGGCAGGCAGGCAGGCAGGCAGGCAAACAGAAACAGACAGACAGCGACACAGAGAGAGAGAGAGACAGAGAGAGAGAGAGAGAGAGCATTCACCACTAAATGTTTGAGAGGTGCTCTCGTGCAACAGCAGTATTGCGCTCAAGGCGCCCCCCCATTTTGTATGGGACGCCCGGAGGAAAAACACTCTGCAAAGGTAAACTACAAGTGATCGAGACGGACACACAGGCAGGCGGGGCGGGGCGGGGCGGGGCGGGGCGGGGCGGAGCGGATAGCACAGGCAGGCAGGCAGGCAGGCAGGCAAACAGAAACAGACAGACAGCGACAGAGAGAGAGAGAGACAGAGAGAGAGAGAGAGAGAGAGACATTGTGTGGCGTGTCGCAGGTTGCTTGTTACTGCAATTGCTTTGTCGACCTGTTGTGAGGGAAATCACGGTGCACCATCTTGTTGCTTCTCACTTTGCGGGCTTGCTCTCCGTCTGTCTCTTTGTCTCTGCGTGGCTGCTCGGCTGCCTGTCTGTGTCTGTATATACATACCTACGTAATTTCATACATACATACATACATACAGACATACTGGTACATACATGCATACATGATCATACTCGCTTTTCTCGCTTTTGGGGCGTAGTGATCCGATGTGCGGACGCAGCCCTTTAGGATGCAATTAATTAAGAAAAAGGTGACACAAATGGGCTAACGGCTCGTTCGGCATGCTGAGGACCCTGTACTGTCCAGAAGTCCAGGACTGTAGGCCGGGTAAGTCCAGGAGAGCACTGGCAGTAGTAGACGGGGCTCGCCGAAGGACGGACAGGGCTGGAACTCCTCGGCAAAGCAGGCGAACGAAAAACCGAAGCAGATCTCCCGCAAGGCTGGCTGAGGAGAGCCGAGCTGGAAATCCCGAAGCGGGAACGTCCAGAGGGCCCTCAGACTCAAAGCCACACAGGCCATGTAGGATCAGAAGGAAGCTGACATCCTGGAAAGGTCCCTCAAAGAAAGAGGGTAGGCTCCCGGAATCGACAGCTTCAATGCATTCTTCATGGGAGAAGAAGACGAGATGGGCATCGAAAACCCTCTCGGCTGCACCTTCCCAGGCCCGCGGTGCAACCACACAAAAGGTGGGCTCAGTGGGAGCAGGCACAGATGGCAGACTCACAGCCGAAAGGTCAAGAAGACCCAGGGAGACGTCCGCATCTTGAAAGGTGTAGGGCCGGGGTACTGGGTGAGATGGGTCGGGGACAAGCCACTCCACAAGATCAGCTTGAAGAAGCCACTCCATGCAGGGGTGAAGCCGGGCACGCATATGCGGATAGCACGTGTCTATGACCCGTTGCCAGGCAACTACGGTAAAATGCAGTCGCTCATTGGGCGCACACACACACACACATGAGAAGGCTAAGCGTAGTCTATCCCATATGTCCGGCTCTGGAATAGCGGACAAAAGTCCATCGTGGTCTAATAGAGAAAGACACTCAAGAACTTCGGCAACCGGCCGACGAAGTTCTTCGTCTACCTCCAAGACCCTCAACGGCAGCATGGGCCCGGCCGCCTGGAGGGCTGGTGCTTGTGAGCGTCCAGAGTCCTCCGCACCTCGGCTGCCAGTGCCGGGCAAGACTGGGCACGAAAAGCCTGCCTGGATTAGCTTGAGGCGACACCGTGGTGTAAAACGGAGGTGTCTGCAGAGTCGGACATTCGTGCCGAAGTTTCGAAGGCAGGCTTGGCACTGCGTGCCA